CTCACCTTGCTGTCCTGCAAAGTGACGAGTCGAGGACGGTGGGGAATGATCCTTGCAATAGCCTCTCCTGCAACAAACGAACATAATAGTGTCAATTGTAAATTTCGGCAGCACCTCCTCTGCACGGTGAGGTAACCAAAACCTGCAACAAACCAATGACACAATGACCGACAACCACATACACAGCAAGTTGAATCATTGCAAGTTGGCACGTTGCATAACAAGAATAAGAAGGTTTGGCAGATGGAGAGCGCACAATATATATGTCCCCATGTATATGTTGGTTCTGATTTTCATATTGCATCTATTATTTTATGGGATGCAAAAGGACGACATTGCCATTCACAAACTCAGTTTTGGCCAAAAATGGATTGAAGTTGAAAATTTGCTTTGTTAGGCATGCAGTCATAATCATACAGTAACAACATGTAGTTCCACATCCACTAATAGCTACTGACAACAAGTACTTGAAGCAAAAGCAAGAACTTGAATGTGGCACAGAAGGGTGGAAAAAAATATATCATATCTCGACAAGCAGTGTGCATTGCATGCCTTTTGGAATTTGGATCGATGGCTATGCAAATTGCTGCCATTAGCTCTCAAATAAACATTTCATTAAGATCAAGCACAATGATGAGATGAAAAGGAAAAGCATGCAATGGAGCCCACCAACCTGGAACAGCGCAGTCCAAACAAACAAAAAAGATATAAGCTCGAATTGTCTAAACAAAAATATATGTGGGCCAATAGTGCTGCGGCTTCAATAGTTAGATGGAAACCACATTGCAATACATTCATCCAAATTGTTTTGCTCAGGAATGCATACATCATTAAGTAAACAACTGTAACACAGCAGCTTCGAACTACATGTATCAGCATTGAGGAAATTGGAATAGAGAGCCAATCGACTTGAAGCTCACGAGAAGTTTGTGTATGATTGGCAGTAACCCACATAATACATGCAATGTGCCACAGCACCGGAGTATCTAAAGCCTCCCCTGAATTAACTGCATCTATTAGTACTCCAATTTCGCACTACAGCACCAATACGGAATCTTTATAAAACCAATAATTCAGCCAATTCAAGAATATACCGTTGCCGGGGGCCGCGCGCGCTGGGAGTGGCAGAGCACGGGCGCCGGGGGAGGGGCGCGGGAGGACGGCGCTCCAGGGACCTTCGGCCGGGGGCGGAGCACCGGGCGCCGGGGCCGCGCACGCCAGGAGTGCCAGGGAGCGCGCCGAGGGCCAGGAGACCGGCCGCCGGGCAACGGGGGCTGCGCACCGGTGGCGGGAGCACGGGCGCCGAGGGCCAGGCGCCGGGGATGGGGGCGCGGGAGGATGGTGGCTCGGGCACAGGCACGGTGCCGGCGGCGGCGCGGGAGGACGGTGGCTCAGGCACGGGCACGGGGCCGGCGGCGGGGTGCGGATGCGGGAGGTCAGCGGCATGGCGTGTGTGCGTGAGTGTTTGGGTGCATGCGTGTGTGCGGGTGAGGAGCAGTTTTGCTAGATGTGATACACGTTATGGAGAAGAAGGAAAAGAAGGAAGGAAAATGAAAAAAAAAACAATGTTTGTCGAGTGCCTCCGATCTGGCACTCGGCAAATCTGGGTATGTTGTCAGATTAGGACACTCGGGCCAGATTGGGGCACTCGGCAAACATTGTTTTTTTCTATTTTCCTTCTTTCTTTTCATTCTTCTCCATTATTTCATTTTATTCTATTAATTAAATCACTTGCAGTTCAAATTTGACTTATACCAAAAAAATTCTTGAAATGCAATAAATTAATTAAATATAGCAAATGGATCCTGAAATATACCAAATCTTAACATGGAGAACCACATATTGTATGTAGAAAGTAGAAAAAGTTTCAACGCCAGAAGTGAAAAAAACTTATTATTTCATGTAGTTGTAGCTCAAATTCAATGTATATCAATTAAAATTCTATAATTGCACTTAATAAATTAAAATGATCAAACGGATCCAAAAAATTACCAAAATTACACATGAATCAATCTATGTTCTCTATTGCCTATACAAAAAGTTTTGAAGTCAAACCCCAATTCGGCCGTCACTTTGACTCAAAATCTTACCGAATCCTTCTCAACGCTACGATTCTTCTTCTGAGATATTTCGATTTGTAAACATCGTACGTGAGAGATTATGCGAAACCTTCTCAATTTTTTACCAAAGCCTCCACGTAGGATATCATGTGATCTTGACAAATCTCATGATTTTCAAACTTCGTTCGTTTTTTTAGAATTTAAAAACAATTCGGTCACACGTTCATGGTCGTGTTTCATGAATAAGATGTTCGAAATTTCCTTTCATTTCCCAGATAAGGCTTCATACTGGACTCAAGAACATGAATATCATTTTTCCACTCATTTTATTCCATTATTTGAATCACTTGCGGTTCAAATTTGCGTTATACCAAAAAATTCCTTTAAATGAAATAAATTAATTAAATATAACAAACAGACCGAGAAATATATCAAATTTTAACATGGAGTACAACGTACTGTATGTAGAGATTAGAAAAAGTTTTGAGGGCAGAAGAGGGAAAAAAAGTTTAGGCTTTGCCGAGACCAACAAAAAACATTCCGCAAAATGATTACTTTGCCGAGTGACATAACGAAACACTCGGCAAATAATGTCTTTGTCGAGTGTCAGTAACGGACACTCGGCAAAGTGCTAACGGCAGGGCGCTCCAGCTGGCGGCCGTTGCACGGCCGGCGCACGTGCTGGTATTTTGCCGAGTGTCTGATGTTTGCCAAGTGTTTCTTTATTATTTGCCGAGTGTTTACTTTAAGGCACTCGGCAAACTGGGTTTTTGCCGAGTGCAATATGTTTGCCGAATGTTTCCACAACGGCACTCGGCACACAGCAGGTTTGCCGAGTGCCCGATGGAATGAACTCAGCAAACCCTCAGGCACTCGGCATACCTACTGTTTCCGGTAGTGTTTGCATGCGCGCAAGTAGCATCGCGGTATGCGGCTGAATCCGGCGTATCCGCCCTACCAAACTAAGCAGATGCATCTGCTACTACTAGACCCACATGTCAGACACAAACTTTTTTTTTCTGAAACACGCTGGAGAATTGTGTATCTTTGTATTATAGTGAAAGAGAGTGGTTCATACAAGAACCCCTCTTACTTAGACCATCGTAAGAGGGGGTAAAACAAAACAAATCAGAAAAAAAACATTTCTAACGTTACAATTAATCGACCTGACTATGTAATTTGACTGGACCTATAATTCAAGACGCCCGAGTTCGAGGTTCTGGAGGTTTCTTGCCCCAGCCATCCAAAACCTAGAGATGACACCCAAGAGCTCCAAGTTTCTCATAGAGGTTGACACTTGGCGAATCACCATCGAACACACAGGCATTTCAATGCTTCCATAAAGTCCAAGCCCCCAAAATGACGAGAGAGTTTACTCCTTTCTTGTGTTGTTTACCAAGTCTTTTAGTGATTTTCCTCCACCAAGTGGCAAAGTTGCATTGTGTTCCCTTCTATTAGGTACCCGCTGCTGTAAATTAAGTGGAGAGAGCACACTATGCCAAAATTATCTTGCAAACACACATGTTGTAAGAATATGCTGGACAGTTTCTTTTTCTTAGTCACAGAGTATGCATTTATCTGATGAGGAAGCCCTCTCTTTGTTAGCTGATCAACTATCCCGCATTTATTTTTTATGGCAAACCAAAGGAACATCTTACATTTTGCTGGTGCCCAAGATTTCCAAAGACGGCACCATGGTTCAAACTGAATTGACCCATAAAAGAATGCCTTGTATGCCGTCTTGGATGAGAAAGAACTGCTTCCAGATATGCTGATCACCGTCACTTGCAAGGGTAAAATTCAGAAGTGCATCCCAAAGTTTGTCGAACTCATCAGACCATTAAGAGAAAGACCACCGCCTATGTCCTCTACCCAAACCCTCAACCATGCGAGTTTTTAGGATCCCTTGCTCAGACTCTCAAACTAAATGGATTGCATCCGCTCGTATAGTCAGTCGAACAACACCTCAACCTTTTTGCATCCGCTCATGCAGTCTTACCAAATGTAAGCTTTTTTGAAATACGGTTCCACTCAACTTTTATCCACTCATCCGGATATACGATGCAAGCCTCGTCCAGCAACCAATCACACCCTTATGAAATGAGGCCTATACATCGCTCACATGAACCATGTTCACCACTGTACGTATAAATCCACTTGTCTTAACCTCTGTCGAAGAGGATGACATGTGGGGTCTGCTACCTTTTTTTCATTTTGTATGTACATGCACTACCGTTTACCATCATTTTGTACATGAACTACCGATTACATATGTTGAACATTTGCCAAGTCATATGTTGACCGATCATAACCACTATCATGTGTCAGGTATAACCATAACAAATGGTAGTTTACAGTTCAACAAGGATTCGTCAACTGGAGAGCGATACTTGAGGGAGACAAAGATGACGTCTTCTTCCGAGTAGTAGTACTTCTGTACGGCTCTTGGACGCACGCCGTAAAAACGAGGAGACAAGCAGGTGGTAGGAGGTAATTCCGCTTTGTGAGCGAGTGAGCTGCGTCAGTTGCGTGCGCGCGCGAGGGAAGCCGAACCACCTCCCGCGCGTTTCCCTCTCTGCCCTCCTCTCCCTCCATGCACAGCCGGCCGCTCCTTCCTCCTCCTCCTCTCCCGCGCCGGCCCGGTCGACTGCCGATTTCGCCGGCTGGTTCTTGGCGCGATCCCTCCTCATCCTCCTCCTCCTCCGTCCCTCCCCTCCCCTCTGCATTCACAAGCCGCACATATGCTAGGCTCCCAGTTGCACGGATCAATTGTTCAGCTCGCGCAATCCAATTGCCTGCTGGCGTTGGATCCGTTCAGGAAGAGCTCGGCGATCCGTTGGGATTGGGACAGAGAGACTGCGGCAGCGGCGTCTGTGATCGGTGTGGTCTTGAGGAGGGGCGGCGGCGGCGGCACCTCTCACCAGTCTCGTCGTCTCCGGGATGGGGAGGGTGAAGCTCAAGATCAAGAGGCTGGAAAACAACAGCGGGAGGCAGGTGACGTACTCCAAGCGGCGGTCGGGGATCCTCAAGAAGGCCAAGGAGCTCTCCATCCTGTGTGACATCGATCTCATCCTCCTCATGTTCTCGCCCACCGGCAAACCCACCATTTGCATCGGCGAAAGAAGGTACATGCATGCATCGATCATGCATTCCTGATTTTCCTGTTTGCTCGATCACATTGACTACACATTCATGTTCGTAGTACGATTTTCAATTTTCATGCACAAGTTTTGTGAACATGGATTGACTTTTTCTTACTGAATTTCGGAATTGGTGAATGTTGTGGTGAAATTGGGATCACCATTGCAAATTATTAATGTGTCTTTTTTGTCCTTTTTGAAATGCCATTCCATTTTACGATTTTTTTTCTTATTCTATTCAAGTAATCTTTTACCTAAGTAGCTCGTCCAATGATTTGTCAAAACAATTGAGATGGTAATTTGAATTATTAATTTGCACTAAATCTTTCCTTTACACATTGTTGTCTTTGCAGCAACATTGAGGAAGTCATAGCAAAATATGCGCAGCTAACCCCTCAAGAGAGAGCTAAAAGGTAATTCTGGTCCTATATATTGATCTTGTAAGCATACATGTTTACAAAAAACATACTAATTAACTAGTGTTCTTTTCCTACCGCTGAACAGGAAACTGGAGAGCTTAGAAGTAAGTTATCTCAACCAACAGATTTATCGACATGGTTACTCTCTTACCTTACCACTTTTCAGAATGCATGACCTCAATGATCTCCCTTTGTTGTACTCAAAAGGCCCTAAAGAAGACTTTCAAGAAGCTAGACCACGATGTAAATATTCAAGACTTCTTAGGCTCTGGGTAATTCTGCCATTTTTTAATTAGATTGCTCATAGCAAACAGAAATGCCTAATTACATAGAAATCACTGACATACTACTATTTCTGAATCCATTGCAGGGGTCAGACAGTGGAGGTAGAGTATGATGAATCGACAACTAGAACAAGCAAGTCGTGTGATTTCTTCTTTCCTTCTTCATGTTTCTAATGTTGTGTGGTTTCAATAATTTGACAGGAGTTATCAGGCCATCTTGGTTCATTGCAGTGTCAAATGGCGGAGGTTCAAAAGCGTCTCAGGTGAATGGCATCAACTCACTTGAGCATGCATATCTTTTGAAATCTTTCCATTCAGTGCTGCTGTGATTTTCCTTTCATGACACATGATCCTGTTAAAGGTGGCCCTGTTATGCATCTATGACATTGATTATAAAATTTATAATAGCCTATCACAAAAATAATGGGCAAAAAATTGAGAGAAGTGTAACAGCTAGACGATTTGTTCTTCAGTTATTGGAGCGATCCTGAGAAAGTTGAGAATATCGACCATATAAGAGCACTGGAGCAATCTCTCAAAGAATCTCTAAACCACATCCAAATCCATAAGGTACGCATCTGTAACCTTCTGGTTGACTTCAGATGATATATATTAACACTTTATCTCTCGTTTAAGCTTTCAAGAGAAGCTGGGCCAATGGGCCTTTGGTCTAAAAATAAATTAACACTTTATAATCGCAATATCTAGCAACAATTCACTATATCTGAATTTTGAATATCAAGTCAGATAGTGCCGTTTTAAGTAAAAAAGAAAATCAGTAGCTCAGATTAGTTCTGACTTCTGCATCGATTTGGATCTCTCCAGGAGAACTTTGCAAAGCAACATCTGATCGGCCTACAGTGTGCTGCTGCCCAGGTAACTAACTAACCTCAGCTCCAGGTGCATGTGAGACGTTTTTCAGGCTTGGATATCTGATCAAGATGTTGCCTCCTGCCATTTTTCAGTTCCAGACCGACATGCAGTTGCCTCTAGGACTGACCGGTGAGCCGGGCCCTTCGTCGTGGTTCCAAAACGGCGGTGCCGATGGGCAACAAGCCATGATGCTACCGGACGACTCCAGCCAGCTCCATCAGAGGTGAATTCAAGCTCCAAAATGCCCATTGCTCTCTGATGATAAAACTCATCTTCTGTAAATTTGTAAAGTAATCTGCTGCTCTCCCTCTGTACGCGCGGCAGGGGCTGGCGCCGAAAGGGCTCCTCTGCTGCTGCACTGTAGGCACAACAGAGGCTGGCGTCGAAAAGGTCCCCTGCTGCACTGTAGTCACAGTAGGGCCAGACGCCAAAGTCAACCCTGCTATCACATCTAGTCTCTGTAGCAGCATGGCAGCCTGGCATGTCTGCATATTAGGATTAGATGGGTAGAGTTGTATATATACCTTCGCACTGCAGCTCAGTGAAGAGTGAGAGTTCAGTTTTACCATCTCCTCTATAGAGCTCCGGCCAACGCTGGTGCTTGTGCTGTGTGTGTGCGCTCTGTTTTCCCTCACTCTTCTACCTCCAGCCATAGTGTGTGTGAGAACGCCGGTGAGCGGTCGGCTCACCCGAGCGGGAGATTTCGGGCCCAACAAGTGGCATCGGAGCCGTACAAGCCCCGTCGACAGACTAACCGCTGGCGATGACGGACGGTTCGGAGATGAGCGACAGCAGCGACGCTACTGTGGCTACCCAGCCACGACAGGAGGTCGTCGTGCGCACGGTGCGGGAGGTCAGCGACACCAGGTGGCCGACGCTGACTCGCACCAACTATGGCGATTGGACAGTGACCATGAAAGTCAAGCTCAAAACCCGACGGCTCTGGAATGATATTGACAAGGGCACCAACAACGAAAAAGACGACATGTCAGCGTTGGATGCTATCCTTGTTGCTGTGCCAGCGGGGTACAGGGAGCCATTGGAGACGAAGAACTCTGCTAAGAAGGCGTGGGAGGCCATTGCAGCGATGCGCGTTGGCTCCTACCGTGCAAAGAAGGCGACGGCCCAGCTGCTAAAGCAGGAGTACGTCAACCTCAAGTTCAAGGATGGTGAGTCGATGGTGGACTTCTCCCTCCGCCTGTAGTCACTCATCAGCAAGCTGAGGAGCCACGGCGTCACCATCGACAAAGAAGAGGTGGTCTCCAAGTACCTCCACTCCGTGCTGGTGAAGTACATCTAGATCGCTCTCTCCATAGAGACGATGCTAGACTTGTCCACCCTCACCATTGAGGATGTAATAGGCCATCTGCGGGTGGTGGACTAACGCATGGAGCATGCCACAACAACAACGGACAACGGCAAGCTGCTGCTGACAAAGGAGGAGTGGGCTGCCTGGATGAAGGAGAAGAAGTCCGGGGAAGTCTCCTCCAACCGTGGTGGCGATGGTAAGCATCGCGGCAAGGCTTCTTCTGAGAAGAAGAAGGTCGACCCCAATGCATGCCGGTGCTATGGGAAGACGGGCCATTGGGCAAAGGAGTGCCCAAATCGCAAGCAAGAGAAGAAGGTTGAGGCTCATTTAGCCTAGGCTGATGAGGATGATGAGACCACTCTCCTGATGGCAACATTCTGTGCACTGCACGACATTGAGGCCAAGGAGAAGGGAGAGGTGATGGCGGTGGAAGGGTACGGCAAGGCTCTGAAGGCTGTCAACCTCAACGAACCGCGCGCCCAAGTCCACCTCGGACGTGTGGGAGACGAGCAAGAGCAGTGATGGTACCTGGACTCCAGCGCCAGCAACCACATGACAGGCTCCAAGGCAGCCTTCTCCAAGCTCGACAGCAACGTGCTCCGCTCCCTCAATCCATGATGAAGGGCAAGAGCATGCCGGCAAGGTTCTAGGGTGAGGCGGTGACTACGATGGTGTTCATCCTCAACCGCGCACCCACAAAGGCCCTAAAGGGCGTGACGCCGTTCAAAGCTTGGTATGGGCGCAAGCCGAGCGTGTCCTTCCTGCAGACATTCGGTTGCATCGGCCACGTCAGGAAGACAAAGCCGGTCCTCACCAAGCTGGAGGACAGGAGCACACCGATGGTGCTCCTGGCTATGAGGAAGGTACCAAGGCGTACCGGCTCTATGACCCACGCAGAGGCAAGGTGGTTGTCTCACGCGACGTAGTGTTCGATGAGAAGGCAGCCTGGGACTGGGACAGTCTGGGCATGGGGGAAGCTGGTGGCTTCACCAGCACCTTCGTCGTCGAGCACTTGGTCATCCACGGTCGTGGAGACGCTGGAGAGGAGGTGCCGACCACTCCAGCAACAGAGCCGAGCACTCCTGGGGCGGTGCCGAGCACTCTAGGAGGGGTGCCGAGCACTCTAGGAGTGGTGCCGAGCGGTCCTACAGTGGTGCAAACCACTCCAGGATGGGTGTCGAACGCTCCTATAGCAGAGCCATGAGGTCTTGTAGTGGTGCCGACCACTGCAAGACTGGTGTCGAGCACTCCTGCAGTGGTGCCAACCACTCCAGGAGTGGTGACGAGCGGTCCAGGAGTAGTGCCAAGCACTATAGTCGGGGTGTCGAGCACTCCAGCTGCTGTGCCGACCACTCCGGCGGAACAGGGGACTCCATCGATGCCGATCGAGTTCGTCTCACCTCCAAGCGACATCACCAAGTTCATGGATGCCTTCCACGATGGTGAGGAGGTGTGGTTCCATAGGCTAGATGACATCATTGGCGGCACAGGGTCCTCAAGCCTGGTGGGTCGGTTGCTCAATGACCCAGAGCTGCTTCTCATCAGTGCAGAGGAACCAGCCACGTTCGCACTAGCCGAGTGCGATGCAAATTAGCGACGGGCGATGCTGGAGGAGATGAAGGTGATCAAGGAAAACGAGAGTTGGGAGCTCGTCGATCCACCTCTAGGATGCCGTTCGATCGCCCTGAAGTGGGTGTACAAGGTCAAGTGGGACAAGCACGGTGCAATTGTCAAGCACAAGGCGCGCCTCGTCGCCCGAGGCTTTATCCAGCATGAGGGCATTGACTTTGAGGAAGTCTTTGCGCCGGTAGCGCACATGGAGTCTATCCGACTACTGCTGGCTTTGGCAGCAGCGAAGGACTAGTGTGTCCATCACCTAGATATAAAATCAGCCTTCCTCAATGACGAGCTGGCAGAGACGGTCTTCGTCAGGCAACCTCCAGGTTTCGTCATCAAGGGAGCGGAGCACAAGGTGCTTCGACTGCGCAAGGCGTTCTACGGGCCACAGTAGGCCCCGCAAGTGTGGAATGCTAAGCTTGACGCCACACTAGGCGACCTTGGTTTCACCCGATGCGCAACCAAGCACGTGCTCTACACGTGACGATGGGGGAAGGAGGAGCTCGTCGTCGGCATGTATGTGGATGGCTTGATCGTCACCGACGCGCGTGCGGAGGACATCGACAGCTTCAAGCGCAGATGGTGGCTCATTTTCAAATGAGTGATCTCGGCACGCTTTCCTACTACCTCAGCATCGAGGTGAGATAGGGGAAGGAGGCGCTCACTCTCGATCAGAGTGCATACGCCTCGAAGCTATTGGAGCGAAGTGGCACGGCTGAGTGCAAGCTATGCGTGACTCCGATGGAGGAGTGGCTAAAGCTGACGAAGGCCAGGACCACAGTGAAGGTAGATGCAACACTCTAATGGAGCATCGGCAGCGGTCTCGCTACTATCGGTGTTTCGAGTTGCCATCGACAAGTAAATTTTTAATATTGCGTGTCTGGCTCGGATGGTGTGCTAAGAGGACACAAGGTTTATACTGATTCGGGCAGAATATCCCTATGTCTAGTTCATTGCTGCTGCTCATGTTACTAGCACTAAAAGTTCATACTAGGGGTTACAAATGGTCGAGAGAGGGACATGTCCCAAGTCTTTGGTGAGAGGAGCGAGCGGGTGTCGAGAGCTTGGTCGCTTCCCGGCTATGTGCTTGTGTGTTCTGATCGGTTCAGGGTTCGATGGGTTCAAGTTTGAATCAGTGTGATGTGTTTCAATGCCCCTTATGGGACCCTCTACTTTCCCTTTTATAGGCCAAGGGAAAGCACGGGTTATAGTGGAGGGAAAAGAGGAGAAATGAGAAGGAGAAGAAGTCCTCCAGGATCATCGGGTCCTTCTTTTCCTTCATGCGGGTTCCACCGACCCTGTAGACGTAAATAGGGACAGCTCCACGTCGTGGCCCTGTCCATCACTAGCGTCATGCGCAGGCATTGTCTCCTGGTCATGGCGCTCCACTCTGTCCTGGCGGACGTCGTGGTGAACTGACGCGTCTGTCAGTGCTCGTACGAGGGTTAGGCAGAACAGCACCGGTACGTCCGACGCTATTCCTGATGTGAATCCCTAGGTATGTCCCATCATAGCCACGGGTTACATCGGGGTGTGCTAGTCACCTCCCTGGTGTCAGAGCTTTGACCCAGGCTCATTCGCTTGGACCTGGAGTGGTTGGCGACAGTATGGGTCTACGTCGGGTGAGATTGATCCCCCGGCCTCGGGGTCAGTCGAGGCGGAGTCCCTCCCCAGAGGTCGGGCAAGGTGGAGCATAAACCCAAGGGTCGAGCGAGGCAGAGCCTATCCCTAGAGGTCGGGCTAGGCGGAGCCCACCCTAAGAGGACGGGCGAGGCAGAGCCCGTGGCCTCGGTGTCGTTCGAGGCGGAGGCCGCTCTTAGAGGGCAGGCGAGGCAGAGCTAGCCCTCAGAGGTCGGGCGAGGCAGAGCCCGCGGCCTTGGTGTCAGGCAAAACGGAGCCCACCCTCAGAGGTCAGGCAAGGCAAAGCCGGCCCTCAGAGGTCGGGCGAGACGGAGCCCGCCCTCAGAGGCCAGGCGAGACGGAGCCCGCCCTCAGAGGCTGGGCGAGACGGAGGCCACCCTCAGAGGTCAGGCGAGGTGGAGCCTATGGCCTCGGTGTCAGGCGAGGTGGGGCCCACCCTCAGAGGTCGGGCGAGGTGGAACTAGACCTCAGTGGTCGGGCGAGGCGGAGCCCGCCCTCAGAGGCCGAGTGAGGCAAAGCCTGCGGCCTCGGTGTCGGGCGAGGCGGAGCCAGCCCTCAGAGGTCGAGAGAGGCGAAGCCCGCATTCAAAGGTCGGGCGAGGCAGGGCCCGAGGCCTTGGAGGCTAGGCAAGGCGGAGCCCGCCCTCAGAGGCCAGGCGAGGCGGAGCCCATGGCCTCACTGTCGGGCGAGGCGGAGCCCACCCTCAGAGGTCGAACGAGGCGAAGCCAACCCTCAGAGGTCGGGCGAGGCGGAGCCTGTGGCCTCAGTGACGGGCGAGGCAGAGCCCGCCCCTAGAGGCCGAGTGAGGCGGAGCTTGCGTACCTAGGGGTCGGTTGGAGCTGTAGTCACGCTCTTGACTCCTCGGATGAATCAATGTTGATGGTTATTAGCATCTCCTCTTTGGATACCATAGTATTGGTCCGCGACAGCTACCTAGTCCATACGAGGCCGGACATTGCGTTCACCATGGGCTACGTCAGCCGCTTGATGGAAGATCCCCGAGAGGATCACGGGGCCACGGTGAAGCGGATGTTGCGCTACGTCAAGGGGACGGTGGATCAGGTGATCGTCTTCCCTAAGACAGGCGGAAGTGGGCTACAGCTCACTGTATTCAGCGATGCAGACATGGTGGGGGATATCGACAGACGGCGGAGCACCTCTGATGTGCTCGTCTTCCTCGGGTTGGCTCTAATCTCATGGTTGTCGCTGAAACAGAAGGTGGTGGCGTTGTCCATGTGCAAGGCAGAGTACGTGGCGGCGGCCACAGTGGCGTGCCAAGCTGTGTGGCTGCGCCGGCTGCTGGGCGAGCTGACCGGTGTGGAAACTCACCCACAAGCACTGATGGTGGACAGCCAGCCCGCCATCGCCCTTGCGAAGAATCCAGTTCTCCACGACCGGAGCAAGCACATCGACGTCAAGTTCCACTTCCTCGTGGATCAGACGATGGAGGCGATCATCATCGAGTTCGTCAAACCGTGACAACTCATGGACGTTGTCACCAAGGCGCCCGCCGCCTTCGGTTCACGGAGTCAAGAAGATGATCGATATGGTGGAGGTTCTAGGGTTAGCAACAGGATTAGGGGAAGAATTATAAAGTAATCTGGTGCTCTCCCTCTGTATGTGCGGCAGGGGCAGACGCCGAAAGGGCTCCCCTGCTGCTGCACTGTAGCCACCACGGAAGGGCGGCGCCAAAAGTCAGCCCTAACATCACATGTAGTTACTTAATAAAGCATGGCAGTTTGGCATGTCTGTGTACTAGGATTAGATGGGTAGAATTGTATATATAGCTTCGCACTGCAACTCAGTGAAGAGAGAGAGTTTAGTTTTACCATCTCCTCGGCAGAACTCCGGCCAACGCTGGTGCTTGTGCTGTGTGTGTGTGCGCCTGCTTCTCCTCCCTCTTCTACCTCCCGCCGTAGTGTGTGTACGAGAACGCTGGTGAACGGTCAGTTCACCCGAGCGGGAGATCTCGGGCCCAACAAAACTGACCAACAAACTGATATGATCTTGGTGCAGAGACATTGCTGGTTGCTCGTCACTGCAGGGCTACCCAGGCTACTTCAGCATGACCAAGCAGGAGACGGACACCGGCGGTGGCAGCGAGCACGGGCAGGCGGCGGTGCATCAGCCGCCACCGCCGCCGCCTGACTTCAGCCAGGCCGAGTGCCTGACGTCGCTGCACCTGGGCGCACAGTTCCCGGACGCACCCTGCTTCGACCACCCCAGCCTTTTCAACGACCGGATGTTCAGGCCGGACGCAGTTGAGCTGCACGACGGTGGCGCCGGCATGGACTTTGTTGGCGGCGGCCACTTCGACCTGCCCAGGCCTGGCGACGAGGCCAGCTTCCAAAACTGGGCGTCGGCGGCGGCATGGGCGCAGCCATGTTTGACCACCACCACATCAGCAGGAGCAGCATCACCAGCAACCACAGTCTTCATCTGCACAAGTGAGTGCATAAGTACAAACCATTCTTTTATAGTGAGGATTACTTTCATAACTGTCCGTTTTGCCATATGTGAACTTGTTTAAACGACTTTATAAAAACTCAAAAAAATTCTCACCTGCGGAACATTTTTAACTTCAATAAAAATTGCTATGGGTGACACTAAAGTACAACGAAGATACATGTGTTTAAAATTAAAACTAAACCATTTTCATTATGTTGATTAAGATTTAATTCACTCCGTAGTCCATATCAAACTGATTTAAGTTCTGACCAATCCTATGGGCTATGGGAGCTTTTCAATCTTTGTTTAAATTCAATTATTAGTATTAATAATATGGTAATCATGCAAGAATTAGTATATGGCTAACTGCATTGAAAACCTAAATCAATTTGAAATTTTAGTTTAAATTGTTTTTTCAAGAAAATATGCTTTACTCTAAGTGAATAAAATATTTTGGATATAGAATCTATATGTGTACAAGTGCAGACAAAATCAGAAATTATAAATGTTCCCTAATTTTCTAAAATGCAAAACTATTTCGTTGCTCATGTCTCCACACCACTAGAAAAACAAATTTGAGCCAAACGTGAACGATTTTGATAGTGTAGGGTGTCAAAGGAATCGTTTCATAGTTGAGGTTTGAAAAGTAAACTTCTTTTCTTTTCCTCTTCTTTCTTAATACATTTAACAGCATGGTGCATAGATCAACATGGCTTTGCTCAAGCCTCATAGTTTGAGTTGTTTTGATAGATGTATACTCCATTGTTAAATAAGTTTAATCCAGGGAATGTCATCTCCTCATGGTTGAGATTATAAAAAATGGGCAGTTATGAATTTTTTTTCTTTGGCATTATGTGTTTAACTGATTTCGGTCTCTCGTGTGGACCATGACTGAATCTCTGACCATCAACTTCCTGCAGCAACAACTCTAGCAGCTGCCTCATTCGATCACGCCGTTGTTTATCACGGTCCATCTCAGCACCGGCAAGTCATGATCGGATGATCCTCCTATGGTAAAAATCAGAGACAATATTGCTCCCAAAAGGCGCTACCATATCCGTATCACTAAACTAATCAGCAATGCAAAATGTGTAGGAAATATTGGTGTACGTATAGGCAAACTGCCAATGTAAAATATACATTATTGATTGTAGCCAATTCTTTCCTGTAACTGTAAATTCGTCTCATGTAAACTATGGTATAGCTTTCATAAAAGGATTGGGCACTTAACTAGTAGTTTATAGGCGTTCACCTTTGCACGAGTGAAAAATTAACAGGGTTAAAAATGACAGTGTGATTTTCTAGCCCATGTGTATTCATTTGTCATGAGACATTGCACCATAAAAAAAATCTATTGTGCTTCAGTCAAACCCTAAACATCATTACTTCTTGTTTATCAGAAAAGGCAGTTGGATTTTGGAAAAAAAACAAGGCTTTATGAAGCTCTGCACCGTAGACCAACTAGAACCTAATGCTACTATTGTAGTATACTATGAAGTTCTACAGCATGACCAACTCGAATCAAATATCACCAAGAGCGTGCAGTCAAGGACTTCTAACTTTCACAGCTCAGTTAAGAAAAAAGAATTGGAAAGATCATACATATGAAGTTTGTTCAGTGTTTACACCAAAATTTGGGAAAGAAGAACGAGGGAACTTGAAGCTTATAAGATTCCATCATCAAGGGATCGATCAGATGTGAATCGATATTAGCTGGTTTTGATGCATTGTCACAATCGGCTATTTTATAGATGACATCAGCAAACAATGTCAATGGACTACGACGGATGGCGCCGGGGGGGGGATGTCGGACGCTACAAAAAGAGAAAGAGTAGGGTCCAAGTTATGTTAAGTTAGGAATGTTTTCTTTTATTCCAAAAATTGTAATAAGTCGTATTTGGGTAGGATTTATGTTTAGGTTTCGGATATAAATATTGGACCCCGGCTATTGTAAATATATACAATCAATCAATACCAATTACTTTTTCCGGCTTCACGCCAACCCTTAGGAATAGGAGTACCGTAGATCTCAAATGAAGTTCTTCAACAAGCGAGGCTGCATCGATCCGATCGACCTTCGGCTTGTCTCAGTAAGTACCGCCATGGCTTATACCTTTGTTTGTAAGGCAAGCATCGGTCCAAATTTACCTCTTACGAGCTCTAGTATAAGTTAGTTATCGATCCTGATTTAGTTCAAGTATGGCTGCATCGGTTAAGTTCGACCTCCACTGCTCTAATTAGATTAAGGTTAAGTTACCGGCTCTACCTAAGGGTGGCATCATTCGAGTAGATTCATTAAGTTACCGATCTTGCTGATGTTCTTGTTGTCATTAGTTTCAAAGAATATCAACCTATCCGATCGAGATCGATCCGCATCGGCCTCACATCCCTTTAGTCCATCGTTTATTTTGTCACATTGCGATGGTTCTTACTTTAAACAACGGGTTATGTTTTATCGGCCGCTCTACTTGATCTTGATCGTGCATGGTACGCTGCTAAGTCATGTCTCGATCTTAAGAAGGTTTACTAGCTAGTTGAATCTGGTCTATAGCTCGCTATTATGGCTGTAACGATCCGGTCGATCCCCACTATTAGCACTTTAAATCGGAGTATGCTAGTCGGTAGATTTGCTTTCGACCAGGCGTGACATTGGCTGTTTGCTATGCCTGCATCAGCTAAATAGCTAATTGCCCGTACTTTAACGCTTATAGTGTGTCTTCATGATTCTATTAAATATGAATATGTTTGTTTATTTTAAAGGTTTGATTTGTTATCTTTATCATGGCTGTCATCGATCCGGTTAAACCCCACCATATTAAGGATAACATGTCGAATCTGATGAGTTTATAGATCTGTCCGTATTAAATAGTCGATTGTTCACATGTCGTAATCTCTTTTCTATCCGAATCGGCTATTTTAGCAGATTCGCCTATACTTTCACACATATAGCATGTTTTTCATGAACCTCACAACATATAGATGGTTTTATGGATTTTTGGCTTTAGTTTGTTATCATTATCATAGTTGTATTGATCCGGTTTAACGTCATTGTTGATGGTAACAGATTAGATTCAGATCGTATGTAGATTCATTTGTACTAGACAGTCGATTTATTCACATGTTATATCTTTTCTCGTTAAACTTATCGGCTCAATGCTTTACACTGGTTAAATCCACCTAGCAGATGATGTTACTTATATCTGGGTGCATTGTGCTTGTTATCACAAATCAATCGTGACCCACGAATATCACAGTCCTTAACAGTCGATTTCTTCTCGTATCGGCTATTTAGTCGATTTTCCCGTCCGGCCGCTCCCGAAGCGGCACACTTGGAACTATGTGGGCAAAACCAGCATGTTCTATCTTAAATTACTGATAAACTTTCCCCCCTTATCAATTGCAGGTCAAATTGACTGTCACGTCCTTGGGAATTCGCAGGATCGATTGCTCCTGCGTTGAAGCCAGGCAGATCTCAAGATCGTTCTGGCTTGCTGCGTGTCCACCCGACGCGGCTACCACATTTTCGCGCTAACACGCGTTCGAACACAATCGGTGGGACTTCGCAGGATCGACTGCTCCTGCGTTGAAGCCAGGCAGATCTCCAAATCATTCCGGCTTGCTGCGTGTCCACCCGGCGCGGCTACCACGTTTTCGCTACCGATAGTTCCTTAATGAAATGGGAGGCGGAAAATCCCTATTCAACTTTTTGCTCACAGACTTCTATTTCATAGTGAAAGAATCATAGGTTTGTTAAGTTAAGCAGTGTTTTTTCTCACGGATGATGCTTGATCTGTCATGGAGGTCATGTAATTTTAACCAAATTTTATATAATTTAGTTCAAGTGAACACGGTTAAAAATGTCTATGCTCATTGATTCAAACAAGCAATTTTTAGCTCGAGCATTTAGAGAATTTCTTTTTCATCACTCGTGGTGGATTTTTTGGGGATTTTTTAGGTGTTTCATCCCACCACGAGTGATGCTCCAAACACCTAGATCAACCACTTCTACGTACATAGCAATTCATTCTAGCACTCAAATAGGGGGAAATTAGTGCCCTTACAGTGTAGAGGGCCATGGGTAATCATCATCCTAACCACTCTAAATAGTGTTCACTCAATGGCGGTTAAACCAAAGGTCTAAATTTAGCCAACTGGCTTTGATCCTACTTGAAGGAACCATGAAGCCTAAGAAGGGTGATTTAGGCTTCTAAAACTTCTACTCTAAACTTCGCTTTTAATTCCACTTATCAAAACACATGTAAGAAAGTAATCTATCTACACGTGCATCTAAGGTTTTGCTAAGTGTGTTGCTATCTATCTAGAATAGTAAGTATACAACCTAGGCACACGATAGAAAATGCGAAAGCTTAAATGAAATAGAGATGCAATGTCACGACAGCCACCACGAGGGTTCTGCCCTTACCCACTTGGCTAGCACCTCGGGCTGTCCTCTCGACAGACACGGTGCTAACCCCTGGGTCATTTAGAGGTCCCCAGAGTCGCTACTCGCAACTTTCACTCATGTGAGTTGTATCCGCAGGGTCAAGCTATAGAATTTCACTCCATGTACCAACCATCAAGATTCACATAGATCAAGATCATACATCAAAATTAATTAATTAATTTAATAAATATTTTTTAGGATTTAATTTCAGTATATGTAGATTTAGACTCTGTGGGATGCAATTTTAGACTTTTAATTATGTATGTGGACTTAAGGAGTGTTACCTTACTGTATTCAGGGTAGAGCCAAGTAGAGGCAAAATTAGGCTCCTATCTCCTTGCTCCGCGTGGCTTTACTGACCTCGATAGCTGTGTTTGATGACGCGGCTGCTGTTGGACAAGATAAATAGGGCGTCGAAGTCGGTGCAAACATGTGGTCTAATCACAAGCAGCTAGAGGATAATAAAGTGAATCTGCATGGAAAGTGTAGCAACTCAATTTTTTTTGAAAGGGAAGGGGACTTATATTAAATTTTGGCATAGTACATCTCTAAATTACACATAAAAATCTGAAATAAAAAATACATAATATTATATCTAGATTCTTCCATTTTCTTCTTTCCCAATAGCTTCCCTCGAA